AGATCTGGAACTTGAACCGCAGCCAGCCATGTGAGAGTCTGGCACTGTAACCACTATGCCATCTGATGGCCCTGAGAACTTTGTAAATTATGAAAAATTTACAAGTAGAAACATTTATTATTTGCAAGATAATACTGCATTTTACTCATCTTGGTAACTACTTCCCTCCCCAAACTGTGCGCTAGCACTCATAGCACAGGGGGAGACATGTACTACATGCTAAGATCATGACCTTTGAATCTCACCTCCCAGGCCTCACCTCTGCCTGCTTCCTTATTTAGCAGAGAGCTTGATGACCTAGTATCCCATAATCCTTAGAGATGCATTGTTTTTATACAGCACATAAAATGATTGAACAGAAGAGAAGCATAAAAATTAAGACAGACTTAACTAATGTGATCTAGAGGGAAGGTGAGTCTGTTAGATGTCATAGGAAGGGTAGACATCCAAGCCCCATATCATAGGTATCTGACATGGATTTGTTTTGAAGCACTTTTATTTGGACTGAAAGTGAACAAGAAGAAGATGACATGAACAAAAGAGATAAGGAAGAAGATTTAAGCACCAGAAGAAAGACCCAGAAAATGATCCCAGTGAGTAAAAGATCACAGTGGAAAAAAAAAAGCAAGTACACAGGGTAAGATCAAAATCAGATTACTTAATAAAAGCTAGCCTTTCTTTAGACAGAAAACAATGCACACTGTTGTCCTTGAAATCTGACATGCACTGCTCCTTCAAGAATGCCACAGCACTCCAAAGCATCAGCCGGTATCTGACAAAGCCCATCACCCTTGAGTCCTGGAGGTCATTGTTCCTGTACAATATTGGGAAGCTCAATTTAATAGATGTTGTAGATTTTAACAATGAACTCAGAATAGAAAACCTCTGAAAGTAAACTTATGCAGGTAGAGGCAGAATTTGAATTAGGCAAGGGCCCACCTGTTCAATAATGAAATAATTGCTGAAGGCACATCCTTCTGTAATCTTTTCTGATGTAACAACCATTCTGTGCCCTGCCTGTCTCAATGCTGCCTCAACATTTGCACATAATCTCAAGGCCTCCAAAAGACGCCAGTTCACAAGACAGACAGTTACTTCCCTAATGCCACAAAAATAGATTCAATTTTACATACATCAGGGTGATTTCAGAAGCAATTTCTCATCTCCAGTGTAAGCATTACTTAGATTTTTTCCCCCTCAAATCTCATATCAGTGGTTCCACAGGGCATTTTAAAAGGTACCTGATGCATTCTAGGGCATTCAAAAGATCCCCAGGGTGCGTTTGTAGCTGCAGCCTAAAGACATCACATATACTGAGAGACTCCTAAAATATTCAGTGATTCAAACAAATGCAAAACTTTATAATAACTGACTATATTAAGTCAATTGAAATGTGTTCTTTTCTTTTTAAAAGCAATATCATTGAAATAAATGTTTATACATTTATATGTATGTATGTGTTTATATGTCTATGTGTGCATGTGTGTGTTTAAATATAAAACATACACACATGCCAATCATCTGGCAAACTTGTCCTTGGCCTTTAAAACATCTAATTGAATTCCACTGGATATTCCTCCTCTTCCTCTCTGACTAGTGAACCTATTTAAATCTTTGGCGTTTTTATCTTAAATGTCTAAGTTTTGACCCATAGTGAAATGGTAATGTTTCTTTTTGAAATGCAACAAATTGATGTTACTCAGCTTTGCATTTGAAATCAGAAGGCTTGAGACCAAATACCAATAATTTCAATTTATAATGATCATATGCATCTTTGACTATAAGCTTTTTGGTGTTCAGTATCTTCCTAGGTCCCCTTTACAAAGGGAAAAAAGTATACACAAGAGGCTGACCCATGCAGGAAAGGTCTGGAACGAATTGGTACTACTTGGCAAGTATTTTTACCTCAACTGGCCTTGCAAATAAATTTCTCCAACCCTGGCCAAAAGCAGGAGACCAGTGACCACTTGCAACAGCCAGAGGCTCAGAGAGCTCAGGATGTCTTTTCTTTTTCTTTGAGGAAAAACCTAGCCCATTTCTCACCAATTCCTTCTCTGTCTACCATGGTTTAAGTCAATATCCCCTTCCCTATTCCTTATGGAATGTAGGGAATACCAGTGATTCACCTGGATTGAGAATGGAAAAAGGATTGGCTTCACAGTAAGGCAGATTTATTCAGCAAATTTATTCTGATCACTAAGACAAACAAAAGTTAAAAAATTGCTTGCTCATAAGATAATCAGTGAGTGCCTTTAGACTTTGTATTTCAAAGCCATTACCCAGCCTTAAGACATGCTCAAAGTTAGCATTATCAATAATGGCAAAGTGATACTATGTGTCTACTGATGCAATACAAAAGGAAAGATGCAACGTCACCCGTGTAATATTTTTGCCAAGATGTTTAGCCGGAATATAATCATGATAGAAAACTCAGATAAATGTAGATCATGGAATATTCTACAGGATAACTGCCCTAGGCTTTTAAAAATATATTAGTATCCAAAAAGAAAAAATAAAGTTGGGAAGGCTGTTCTAGATAGAAATAGATGAAGAGACAGAAAAACCAAGTATGGGCCAGTTGGTGGTGTGATGATTAAGGTAGCTGACTGAATACCATATGGCTGATCACATGGTTTGATGATTAAGGCAGCTGGATACCACATGACTGATCACATGGTGTGAGTATTGGACTCAATGGCTTGAAAAACTTGCTAAATGTGCATTTGTGCATGCCCAAAATCCGGAGAGGAGGGAGAAATGGAGGAGGGATTGCAGCATGACCATCTCCCTAGGGTTTCTCTCTCTCTCTCTCTCTCTGTGTGTGTGTGTGTGTGTGTGTGTGTGTGTGTGTGTGTGTGTGTCTTCTGGAAGATGCAGTGGTATGGCTCTGGGGAGGTCAAGCAAGCAGACTTGTGCCCTCTCGCAAATTAAAAAGAAAGAAAAAAAAAACCAATGTGATCTCTTTGATTGGATCCTGATTTAAAACAAATAAACAATAAAGATCATTTTGGAGACACTGATGACATTTAACTATGGACTATAGACTTCACTATATTAGCAATCACTGAATCAAGGTTACTTTTCTCTAGTAAGATAATTTTTCTGGGTTATGTTGGAGGGTTGTTCTAATTCCTGGGAAACACAGGGTGAATTCCATGGAGGTGGAGTGTCATTACATCTAAACTTGCCTCTAAATGGTTTAGAAAATTTTATATATGGAGAAAGTGCACATAGAAGTGAAAATGTTGCAAAATGTTAACAATTAGTGAATCCAGGCAGAGGGTATATGAGTATTATTCTTTTTCCAAATTTTCTGTAGGTTCAAACTAATATAGCTCCCCCAAGACAGCACACCAACATTTGAAAACAGCTATTACCTTCCTCAAAGTTATGTGTTCTAAACTAGGGTGACTATAAGAACCCTCTGAATGGCTTTTAAAAGGTCCACATCCCTCGGTTCTACCTCACTGCTCATCCCTCAGGAGATTTTGATTCAGCAGGTAAGGTGTGGAGCTCAAATACGTGCTATTTTGAAAACCTCCCTGGGTATTATAGGTATTATTGTTGTAACTCAAGGGTCTGAGTTACTCTCAGAGCCTGGATCCATCAGGAATGAGTGGTGTGGCTCTGGGGAGGTCAATCAAGCACACTTGGCTTTGGACTCGTTACCTACAAAATGGGGACAATGACCTAAGTTATACAAAGTGGTCAAAAATACTTGTTTCCTTTCATCCTTCATCTTCTCTTAGATCCACATCACCACAAACTGATCGTAAGTGATTTTTACATAATACATTTTTTTCCATTGGCACTCTATGTAGCATTGGAGGGAATACGTGCTAACACCCCTTCAGATTTCTTACATTTCCCAGCTTGGAGCAGAGGCCAAAGAATCTACCTATCATATCCAGGAGGGAGCTGGACTTTTTATTTATGGTTATTTATTTATTTATTTTTACTTAGTCAGAGGCCATAGGCACTGGCTGGAGAGAGAGATAGAGATAGAGAGAGAGGGAGAAAGAGAAGTACCCCTGAATGGGGGCATGGTCAGGTCACAATCCCTTCTGGTCCATTCCTCCCTGCTTTAAGGATTTGGGGCATGCAACACACATGCCTAGAATGTTTTTCGAGCCACTGAGTCTGGGACTTGAATTTCACAGCCATCCACACGGGGTCCAGCTGCCTTAACCGCTGGACCATAGGCCAGCACTACTATTGTTATTTTTAACCTGTCTCTATTTATGTCCACAAGCAGTTAGGATGCCATGTTCCCATTTCCAGCATAGTTGAAAGAACAAAAGCCACCTCTCTTGAGTCTTATCACCAAGGTAGACTTGGATGTTACAAGTATTGGGGTTCTCCTTTGGACTAGAGTTAACCCTAAAATGTTAACCACTTACATTAGCTTGGATCCTTCATTAATTACTACTCAGGTAATTTCTACTAAATGCCACTTGGAACACTGGCTATGGCTTGAAAGTGGCCAAGGCTTAGAACTTGGGAGCCATCTGGTTATGCAACTCATTAGCCGTGGAACTTCAGAGGAAGTTCCTTCTCTGAGCCTCAGTTTTCAAAGTACTAAGAACAAAGACAGTAATAGTCTATGACTCACTACCTTAGGTGCTGTATATGAAACACAATCTTAAAAATTTAAGTCACTCAATTCAGTGTGGTATATTTTTCTCCTTAAGGGCATAGCCATCCTCCTCATCTTTCTTTTTTACCATTATTATTTTTAACTTGTCTCTATTTATGCCTACCAACAGTTAGAATGACTTGTTATCTTTTCCATCTACTTTGAGGTAGATTCTAAAATATTCCTTTTCACCCCAGGATAGGCTGCCTCAGGTCTTTGCCAGGGAGAACCTTCATTCTGACTATTCCAGGGCAGCATTCCAACCATGCCTTATAGCACCATAACACTAAGAGGGATCTATAGCAAGGTACTAGGGCCAAGGTAGACCACGAATGTCCCCTTCCCCTTGGTTGGCTCAACTTACTGAATCCATTAACGTCCTGAGAACTAGAGGAGAAGCCTTCATCATTGCGGCTGGAGCTGAGCTTGGTGGTGGGTTTGTCGGTGGAGGCTACAGGCCCCATCTCCCTCTGGGCTCCACTCTGCGTCTCCTTCTGCTTCTTGGCCAGCTTCCTTTGGGACATGTGCAAGGGAAAAACCACAGTCAGATGATGCCAGTTGCATTAAAGCATTGGGAAGATAGATTGTTCTCCCTTCCCAACTCATGCTCAACCCTCAAACCTGGTTCATTCTCCAGAAGTAGTGCCAAGACAGGCCCTCCAATGTCAAGGTGTAGTAAACAAGGTACAAGTCACTCATGGTTTCCATTTACTTGAAATGTAAGACTCCTGCTGTTTCATCCCTAACAATAGGCATATTCTATCTTTGAGGTTAAAATGGGAACTTGAGATGTGCATAATGTTCCTCTTGATTTCATTTCAGAGGAAGGAAAAAGCTAGACTGGTCTTTCTATTTCTTGGATGATCTAAATGAGATTAAAAATGGAATCTACCCTTTCTCAAGGACTGAGCTCATGAAATAACCACCAAATAATGGCAAATTGAAGTAGGGGCTGAAGGCTGTGGGTGAGGGTTGATCTTAGTCTCATAGCTCAAAAAGGGAAAAAGTAAAGCTAAACTTGATGCATAGTTATTTCCATAGAAATGACAGACCCTCAGGCCCAGATGGGTGTTTACAGCAGTAGTTCTCAAACATTTGTATATACATGAATTACCTGAAGAGTTGAAAATGTGCAGAGAGACTCCTGGAAGTAGGACAGGGCCTGGACCTTTCCTTGCCACCCAGTCCCCCAGGAGATTCTGAAACCAAACTACCAGCTTTGGTGTCATGCAAACTTGGTTTCAGATCCTATCTTTGCCACCTGCCAACTGCAGGGCCCAGGGAAATTCCTTAATCGCTTTTAAGTTCTAAATTTCTTCTGTATACCATGGCAAATAACAGGACCAACCTCACAGTGCTGTGAGGATTCAATGAGATAAAATAAACAGAGCACAATCCCTGGCACATGGTGAACAGTCAACACATGGCCATTGCCATTCTTGTTTTTAGATTATTGTCAACAGATCCAACTATATTCCGAAGTCTGAATCCCCTCTCCAACATCCCACTGTAGAACCCCATCTTTCTCTGAATTGTACCAGTTGATGGTAATTTTGATATCTCACTAGGGAAATGAAAAGTTAAAAAGCTTTTTTATGGATTTGAAATCTTTTTCCCTTAAATTTAAACTGATTGGCCCTAGATATAACACTAAGTATATAAAAATATGACTGACCCTTCTTATATATAACAATTAATTAAAATTTTTCTAAAATTGCCAACATGGTCCCTCTGAGTTTCCTCACCATATACACATTTATGTATAGTTATTATGTTCCTATCACATGAAAGTCCATAGGTTAAACTTTAAATATCTTGAGGATAATTTTCTTTAGGTCTCTTGCTCCATCTTTCCCAGGATTTGGCTTCAAATTCAATCTTGGCCATTTCTCTCTCAATGGTTCTACTAGTGAAAGAATAGATGACCCAGAGAGGTCAAATTTAATACGATACAGGGGATAGTTTTCCAGAATTGAGCCCACCTGATCATGAAGTAGGCTGTTTTGAGAGACAATGATCTCCCTGCTAGAGGAGATACTAAAGGAAAGGATAAATCTAGATGTAGAAGTATTAATAGAGGTGTTCACCTAGGACCAATTCCAGTTTGAGAGTATCCTTAAAACATGAGTGACACGATCTAGGAACAAACTACACCAAAGAATGACAGTTAGCACACTCACATGAGGATAATTTGAGGAGGGCTTATTTATAAAGGGACTATTGACAAAGATGAGAAGAATATAAGGTACCTAAGACATAAAATGGTGACAGGAAATCTGCTAATCACCTGTGGGTCCAAAAGGACAAAAAGAAGGAGCAGGAAATCAGAACCCAAAAGGAGAGCATTGAGAAAAGGCCACCCGGACAGAAGAAGGGGCTTTCTCTTGAGGGACCCAGCTGGTACTACACAACCTTATAGGGAGGGAACCAGAGGTAAAGCTCCCCTCCTCCCTTCCTCTGAATGCCTGTATCAGCTCTCATCAGCTGAACCTAATTAAAAGTCAGTGGTAGCAAGAGATCCTTCTGAGGAAGTTCATATAGGATATGCTCTGGAAGCAGAGGAAGCAGTAGAGAAAGGTAAAGAGTGAATCTGGGTCCAAGAATCTAGACCAAGAAGAGAAAAGATTGACGTTCCTCACATTTGATCATAATTTGAAGACACATCCAGCCTAAAAAATGGAATTCTTCCTTTATTTATCTTTTCAAAGTTGCCCAGGGAGAGAAGGGCACTCGGGAATAGGAACACATCTTTTGGGTGTAATGCTTTGGCCATAGGCAATACTTTTCTACTAGTGAAACTATTTCAGGCAGACAGAAAAACGAGATATGAAGCACTGGATGAGCTGGGTCCTTTTCCCTAATGGCAAGCACTCAGACAGGGGAAGAGGGAACACCAATGAAAGAAAAATGAGTAATTCTGTTGCTGATGACATTTCAAAATTTTATTCTTCATTTATTATCAAAAAGGAGTATGTTTAAAAATGTATATGTGACCTTCTTAATCATAAATTTGAAAAGATATACAGCAAATCCTTTGCCTCCATTCAAGCTCTGCTTACATTTGCCCCAGCAGGAAATAAAAGGAAATTTGATCAGAGAGTTAACTTTAAAACTACAAATGAGTATGTACTGGAGACTTTGCTATTTCCTTGGGGGTAGAACTCCCCACAAATCTCATTTCATTCAGGATAAAATAATATGGAGACAGTTGTCTTAGGCACAAATCATTGGTTACCAAGGCAATAAAAAAAGGCAAAAAGGCCACTGCTTGTATGAAAAATGACATTTTATAAAAATGCTTGAGTAACTCTGAATACCTGTATTTAAAAATGAAAATCTGGACCTGTCCGAAAATACATATATATTTAAAAATTAGAATTATAATTGAATTGTGAAAAATCAAGGATATGACATATTTAGTACTTAGGCTGTGGCTGATACCTATTAGATGTTACTGGTGATAATGATGTTTAATGATTGTCTAAAATGTGTAGACAGGTGTTGGGGCCATAGGTAAAAATAGCTACCAGGTGTAAATGGAAGGACCGTAGAAGGCAATAAAATACCGAAGCACAATTTGGAGTTATGTCTCTATTCTTTCAGAATTCAAAATTTAAGTATTAAACACCCTTGAAGGGACAGCTAGAGTAGCTCAAGTCTCAGTCATGTTTAGACCACATGGGCAGGTGCCAGGTTCATGTTCTTAGTTCCCCCTCTACACACTGCACATGCATATGTGTGCTTGTGATCTTGGCTGGCGGAAACTAAGAGTAAATTGTGGCATGGATACCCTGTTGGGGATGCTTGACTCTCTATTAGTCTCTTTCTCATGGAAAAAAATCTATATAATCTTAAAACTCTCAGTTAGACAGGAAAGTGATATTTATTCTCATAACCAAAGATTTGAAATTACCACTTCACTTTTTTTTTTCTCCTCAAGAGAGAGGAAAATCCAAACTTATGAATAGGGCACACGAGATTCTCAAACTATGGTCCAGGCTTCAACTCAGCTTTATCTTCTACACATATCCCCTTACAGGAAACATAAACTTCACTGACATTCAAATATCACTTTTCCTTTGAGGATTTCTTCTGTTACCCTACATAAAATTGTACTTTTTCTCCTCATGGTTGAGACATCCAATGAACAAATACTTAATCAGCACATACATATATCATTCTCTGCTAGATGTAAGAAGACCATATTTTCCTGACCCGAACTCTCACGAAACATAGACTAATGGCAAAGACAGACATTACATAGATAGAGCAGTAAATATAAAATCACAAAGCTGATGGATGCCAAGAAGAACTATCTGGTGTTATCTGAAAATTAATACATGGCCTGAGCCTTGGCAGGAGATCAGAGAAGGTTTTGGTGCCATGTCAGCAAAACACTTGACTAGTCAAATTGCAGTGATTCAACTTTCTTACCCAAGAGGCAAGCACCTCTTGGGAGAAGGGCTTTTGACTCCTTGCACCTACTCTTCTCCCTCTGAATGTCTGGCACATAGCCAGTGCTCAATAAACTTGTTGCATAAATGTATATTTAAAGGTATGATTTGAAGTGTGGAGAGATGTTTATCCCTCTCTGAACACAAATGATAATAATTTAAAAAGTAGATATGGATAAGGAAAGAGAAGAAAACCCTGCAAACAATTAGTTCATTACCTGGAACATTTGTATCAAGAAATACTTGCAGTTAAGAATGTAAATTAAGTTAAAAAAAAAGTTTCAGGAAAAAAAAATCCATTCGATGACTGCAGTAAGATATATAGCCCTAGCTAGGTGCTACTTTATAGGATACCTAAAGTTAGACTTGTGTTCATGGAAATGTATATATCAGCTGTGTTTGCTATGAAAATATTTAGATTAATTAATATCTTTAGTAATTCAATAAAAAATGGGGGGGGAACAGTATAGAAAGTAAATATAGATACCAGAGACAGTGTGGGAAGAGAGTGGGAGATGGCAGAGGTTAAGAGATAGGGAATCAATGATGGGGAGAAAAAAAGCAAAACATACAGGAAACAAGAAATGGAAAATTATTTGTTAACAATAGTATGTTGATGTGCTTGATTGAGACAATATACAGTGTACTCTGGATGCAAAATCTCATTTTGTATGCTGTAATGATGTACAGTGAATGAAGGTAAACAAATAAATTTAAATAAAAAAATAAATAAAAAATAAAAAAAGAAATACTTGCAGTTAATAACTTAGCATTTCCTTCCCAGAATGTTTGCAGAATTAATAAAATGTTCACAGAAGTTGGATTTTTCTTTTCTCCCTCAGAGCCTACAGAATATCCATAGCTATAGAATATGTTTAAACCTCATAAAATAGTCATACGACTCATGAACTGTCCTATAATTCACGGAATCCTCAGAGCCTTCAAGATTCAAGTAGTACTTACTACACCCTGAACTTAGAATGTTCTCTCCAGCTGGTCTGAGATTCTTGCCAATTGGGTCACACAATCTGGCCAGCAGGGGGTACCAAAAGCTGGTAA